GCTCCTATGATGCTGCTTGGCCTGCTGTGTTCATCCAGCCCTGCACCTTGTTATCTCCTGAATGGAGATCAGTTAGGCAAATTATAGTAAAGTGAAGAGAGTCTATTAAAACACAGTGAAAATGATCTATGCAAAATTCAAAATACATTGAAGACTCCTGCAAAGGCCTCTCCCAAATCTACTTGCATTTCTTTAGTCTTGAGACCTTGTTAACATCTATTTATAATATACGGCAAGTTTCTGGACACAAATTTAAGAGCAACACTCTGATTTTGTGCATGTGTCCCACCACAGAACGGTGTTAGCCACAAATGCAGCCTTATATTGAAGAATGAAATAAGTAGAATAGAATTTTCAAGTACAGAAGGAAGCAAATCAACCCATCATGTCTGTACCAGCTTCCAAAAGAGCTATGCAGCTAGTTGCATTCTCCAGCCCTATCTCTGTAACCCTCTAAATTCATCACTTACAAATATATATTGCAATCTCTTCTGAAATCTCGTATGGAACCCGCCTCCACCACTCTTCCTGGTGGTGCATTTCAAATCCTAACAACTCTCTGAGTAAAGAAGTTTCTACATGCACAGTATTTGAAAACTCTTAAACAGATGCTGCCCAAAATGCTTTCCTTTCTCAGAAAGATTGGGGAAGCAGTGAAAAAGTTATAAGTGCTCACTGAATATTCTGACCTTAAATATTCTGATGCTGAAATCAACCATCAATGCACAAGACAGTGAAACCCCAAAACCATGAATTCCAACAGAATGTGCAACATACCAGGTGCTCTCCTGAGAGAATTTCCAGCAGCTTAATCAGCATACGGCCATCTCGGAGGTCAGTGTATAGATCTGTAATGCGGCAGGTTACACGTGCCAAGTGAGAGTTCACCCATTTCGTAAAGGTTTTCTTCTGCACAACTTCACGCTCATCTGTAAAACAATTAATCAAACAATTCGCTATTTGCCATCTCAGTATCTGGCTTGTACACTTTTATACACAAAACCGTCAACTGGTGTTCAGGGACAGTTTGCATTACTCAGCAGGGACAGCAGTAACAAATGTTTCAAATTCAAGTCATGCTCATGTTGACCCTATCTGGAATCCCGTTCGAATTCCCGTTCTGCTGCATCTTTGACTGATTGAAGGAAACTAAATGGGAGCAAATTAGTAAAACAGCCCATAATTATTGCTAACTGCAACTTAATTTTGGTGATGGAGTGTGTAGATAGCATCTAAAGAGGAGTAAAGACCAAAAGAACTGAGGATGCTGTAAATCAGGAACAAAAACAAAAGATGCTGGAAAAGCTCAGCAGGTCTGGCAGCATCTGTGAAGAATAAAATCAGAGTTAACGTTTCACGTCCAGTGACCCTTCCTCAGAACTGATGGTAGCTAGGAAAATTGTTGCTTTATATGCAGGAGATAGGGTGGGGGAGGGGATAAGGAGTAAACAGTTGGTGGGGATAAAGCCCAAAGAGAGAGAACAGTTGGGCAGACAAAGGATTTGATACGATCTGGCTAGGAGGGTGAATAGCTGTTAATGGAGACTGTTAGTGGCTAATAATGGGTGGTGTGTAATGGCAGGCTACGTGATAACAAGGCCTGGTGTGTTGAGTAGGGGGCTAGGACATGGGAAAATTCCGGCCCTAAAATTATTGAACTCGATACTGAGTCTGGAGGGGTGCAGTGTCCCCAAGTGGAAAATGAGGTGCTGTTCTTCCAGCTTGCATTGAGCTTCACTGGAACACGGCAGCGAGCCTGAGACAGAGATGTTGGCCAGGGAACAGGGTGGTGTGTTAAAGTAGCAGGCAACAGGTAGCTCAGGGTCTTTCTTGCAGGCAGAACTTAGATGTTCTGTGAAGCGGTCACCCAGTCTAGGCTTCATTTTCCCCAATGTAGAGGACAGCACATTGTGAGCAGCGAATGCAGTACATCTAAAGAGGAGTGGTTATCTGACAATTAGGATGTTATATAGAGTCAAATTATAAAATAGGTTTTATGGACGGGCTAAAATTGGAGACTTTGGTAGTACAATGCAAGCCATTCTTTTAATTTACAGAATGCTGTTGCTAATTTGTGTCAATGATCTTGCACGTACTGCATTCGTGATCACAATGAAATGAACCTTGCCATAATCTTCTCTCATTAGAGAGAGCTGACTGGTAAGATCACAGCCATACACTCATCGAATGAATGCTTCCCAATATGGAAGGAGAAAAATCCTATTTTATCCATGTTCGATGAGGTCAAAGAGCCAGCTGTCTTACTCCCATTAGCCAAGCTGGTGCATAGTTCACAAAACCAATGATATCGGTACTGAGTTTGTTATGTATGTAGGACATTACAAGATGGCTATGTCTTAAATAGTCTCCTTTAATTTCAGGTGAAACAGAAAGCTCTGAATGGGACTGACGGCAGTTATATTAAACCTCAGACCAGAGACAGATCCGTGTGATCTGGCTGCTGTGGGAAAGAAACATAAACCGAAACCCACTGGAAGCACAAGTGACAGTTTTCATAGCTTGACACAGCATAGGGACAGCTGTTTTTTTTATATGAGATACAAACAGAAAGAGAGGTATAAAGAAGATCCTGTTGTGAGGAAACAGGATGTTAGTAAGAATCAGTTTTATTTTTGTTCAAAGGATGGGTTTGGAACAGTCAGGACTTTTGGATATGCAAGGAATCACGGAGATGTGATTTTTGGTCTATAGTCAAGTGTGAGAGGCTTTGACTAAATGAACTGACTTTTGGAAAACCGGAATTTGCAACTTGGCAAGGCAAAGAGAACAGAGTCTGTTGTGAAGCTGGGAAGAACATAGAACTCAGCCTTTGTCATGAATTCATGAGTACATGGACTCATCCATATAATTTTGTAATTATTTCTAATCAACCAGTCATATATCTTCTGTCATGTCTCCAGGGCAGGCAGGACTTGAACTTTAAGCCTGGAATTTCAGGCCCAGAAGTGAGACCCTATCATTGTGACATAAGAGACTATAGATGTTTTTAATCAACATGTGCAGACATGTTATTACACATCTCGAGAGCAGATGAGACTCGAATCAAAGCCTCTGACCCAGAGGTAGGGACACCACAACTGCACCACAAAAAGCTTCCTTGTAATTTTATACACTTTATAAATCTGCCTGAAATGCAGTACAGTGTGAAAGGAGCTGTAAAACAGTTATTTATTGCAAAAGAACTTTTATTTTGTTTGGATATATTTCTTAACTGTTTGATTTAAGCTCATTTTAATGAGTTTGCTGCAGTAAAATGCTTAAAATGGAAAATCTTGCCAATCATAAAATCCTTACAATGTGGAAACAGGCCATTCAGCCCATCAAGTCCACACCATCCATCTCACACAGACTCACCCTCCCCTACCCTATCCCTGTAACCCTGCATTTCCCATTGCTAATCCACACATTCCTGAACACTACGGGTAATTTAGCACGGCCAATCCACCTAACCTGCACATCTTTGGACTGTGGGAGGAAACTGGAGCACCTAGGGGAAATCCATGCAGACACGGCGAGAACGTGCAAACTCCACACAGTCACCCGAGGGTGGAATCGAACCCGGGTCCCTGGTGCTGTGAGGCAGCAGTGCTAACCATTCAGCCATTGTGTCCTTCACTTTGTTGCCATTGGTCGCAGGAAAATTCATTTCACTTAATGTAAAGGCTTCAACAGAGTTTATAAAAATATTAAATACAAAATCTAGTAAACTGTAATCAAAACAAACTTGAAATAGTCAGATAATACTTCTTTATCACCTATTTATTATTGAACAACATGTCTACCAGAAAGTGTTTTCTATACATAAATAATTTGGTTTATATCACATAATGCAACATCAATTGTATTTACAAAGCAATAGACCAATAGCTTTTAACATGTGTGGCAGAGTCAATAAATACTCTATGATTGAAGTAGAAACTAGTGACTAACATCCAGTTGTATATTTATGCAAGTTTTGAAATATTCTCAAAGAACATGCACTGACATCTACTAATGTTATTCTACTGACACACCTTGCCAGTTTTCTAACTGATGTGATTACCAGTTATTGAAGATATTTTATATTTGTGACAGAAATAATGACTCAGTGATGCTTCAGAAAAAAAAAAACAAGGAAACTACCCTGGCCAAGCTCAAATTACAATAGTGGCTCCATGTCAAAATTACTACTTAGACACTAAATCCTTTTCTAGCATCCTCTGGCTGTGAAAGCTACTCTGTTATCATGGTAAAGTTGAGATACACCATTTGAGATACCCACTATTTTCTAATGATATGTATGCTAGGCTACATAACACATAATGAATGCATCATTACACAACACCATTCAATCTTTTATGGCAAGTGACAGGATGTCGAGGCCCTGTCCAATATTGAGGATAAACATATTAAAGAGAATAAAGCTCAAAGAGGGAACAGTCATGGGTTGAGCAAGGCTTTGATGGAATGGCAGCCAAAGATATATCTTCTTCCTTCTCCAATGGGAATTCCTCTTCTTCTGTGACACTCCGTATGATAGGAATGGACTTGTGCATTATGGGTTTTGTAAGCTGGGCAGGCAATGCAGCTTGTCACACTCTACCCCTCTATGTAGCAGGACTGCACTACAGCTGTGGGTTGTGGGAAGTGACAGGGATAAGAGGAGGGTGAAACTACTCAACGGAGTTGAATTGGTATAAGAGCTTCACCTTCCTTCTACCAGCTCATGTAGAGAGAAAGTCCAAAACAAAATCCAGCCCAAAGTCCCCATCAATTTTATGGAATACTTCACTCATGTGAACAAATTTTAGCTCCCTATGAATAAGCAGGCTTTTGTTCCTTTTTTTTGCATTTAAGGATGTATCAGTTATTGAAGTAGCAATTGGTACGCACCTGATCAATGAATGACAGCAACAGATCTCTTTGAGAAGTTAATAATTCTATAATTATACATACATGCAACAGTAAATAAAAAGCTCATGCATCTATCCATTAACCAAGCTAAAGCGCATAACCTACTTAAAAATATTTGAACTACGCATACCCTTTCCTCTGGTAGTAGTATAAATCACATATTGTGGGATTATTTCTCCAATGTAAATTGTTACAGTTGCTTATTTATTTGATAATTCTAGGTTAGATCTGTTTTACTGCTTCTCTGTTTGAAAATGATCATAATAATGTTTCTATGGCTGAGTGATAGCTCTTTCGAATCAGAAGGTTCCAGGTTCATGTCCCATTGCAAGGACTGGAGTGTAAACTCTAAGGTGACATTCCACCGCAGTACCAAGAGAATGCTGCAGTCAACAATGCCATTGTTCAGAAGAAGCCTTAAAATGAGGTCTCATCTTCACTCAGAGGTGGATACTAAAAGTCACATGGCTCTATTCAAAAAGGAGAATTCTCCACAGAATCATGACCAGTGCTCCTTCCTTGAGCAATGCCATGAAAGCCTTTATTTCATTGTTGTTTATGGCACCTTCTGCACTAATTGTTTTTCCTACATTACAGTAGAGATTACATTTCATAAGTCATTCATTAGCTGGAAAGCACTTTGGGACATCTTGATATCATGAAGGGAAGTTTTCCTTTTCTTTAATTAGTTCTAATTTTATTCAGAACACAATCTAAAGGAGGTAGCCTGGAACGGTTCAACGGGGTATGTAATGCTTAGATCTGTTCAACCAACTAGTTTCAAAACAGTCAATTTGAAAATTGTAGAGTGACTGATAATATGAAAACAACTGGATCACAGCTGTTTTTAACCAGATACAGTTAACTCTGTACTGGGGAGAAAGAAAGAGGCAGAGGCAGAAAGAGAGATGGCCATTATTTAAACAAAACAGAATATATATACACTTGGGATGAATGTATTGCCATGTTCAACAAGAGTGTCACATCATAATTCTCCCCCATTGTAACAGGAATC